TAACACTTTCAAATCCACCTTCTCCTTATTCTTTTTTGATATAGCAGGGATGATAACTTGCCTCTTGGAGGCCTGGGAGCTTGTTGCAAAGTCACCTACTTTGTGAAGATTAGTGTTTTGAGCCTGTGAAATAGTTGGTTCTCTAGATGGGTTCTCCTCATTTAGAGGGATAGATTTTTTGTATTGTTTCTCTTTCTTGGGGATCCTTGGATGTGACAGAGGTTCCTTTTTTTTTAGTTTATTCCGGCTAGCACTATAGGACTGGTGTTTCCTGGTTTCTTTGTAGGGGGTCGACCTCTACGCTTTTTGGGAGCATAAAATTTGTCAAAACAAAAAACCCAAATCGAAGTCCTAGAAATTTGTCAAACCATAAAATTTACATATCAAATCGAAGTCCTAGAAATAAAAAATCCAAATGGCCAAATCTACTCTTAAAATTTAAGAACTCTAAAGCTTATAGGAAAAAATACTCTTCAATGTTTCAGATCTGAATGATTATATTGCGGAGTGACTCTTATTTAAAAGGTTGACCTATATTTTATTAACCTGGAGAAAAAAATCGTAAATTCTAACCATTCGAAAAAGTCTTATATCTATCTATATACGCAGAAAGTGTTTTGTTTAAGGTTTAAAGAAAAGAAAATAAAGGTAACCGCCCCATGTGACAGCATTACACATATCTATATATGTAATGTGTATAGCATAGAAATATACGCCCGTATTTTTTTTATATCAAATAATTCACTTTCATTTAAGTTGAATGTTACAGATTGCAAGTAGTTTTGGATACAATGTAAGTAGTTCATATTACATATATATACTTCAATGTTATAGATATAGTAATTGTCTTTTAGAAGATAACTAATTACGTACACATTACATATATGAACATTTTTGTCCAAAAACAACCCCCTTTGTAGTTTGTTTTATATTTTCTTTGTTTAAAAATTATCACTCTATAATGAGGAAACTTCAAATGGCATAAACATACTCGCACAAAGGTTCACTTTGACATAAATAAAAACGGGCCTATAGCTAACATCAGATCGATGTAAGAGTTATATGATAATACCTTAATAACAATGAAAATCAAAGATTTAAAAAAAAAAACAATGAAAATCAAAGATTCAAAGTAGTTTCTACTTAAGTAAATTACAAAGTTAAGATTTGAATTTGAATTGCTGTATTTATATATCAAATCAACTCAACATATAAGTACTTTTACGTTAAAGGTATTGTAAATTTGTGATAATTGGTTAACCACATCCACATCTAGCACATAGATCGATACATGATGCTCATGAGCATGATGAAATATAACTATGATTAATTCAAACCAAAAGATATATAAAAGTACATATAAACTATATACTTTAACAAAACAAAACAAAAACTATATTCATACTTCATTATAATCCCTAATCCTCATCAACTCGTCATTAACCAAAAAGTATATATTCGTGTATAAAGCAGGTGATCAGCAGTTTAGCAGGCCCATCATTTGAACCATCAAACGTATATTACGTTAATAAAAATATTATCATGTTTTGAGAAGTCAAGTCACTATAGATTTTCCATTTTTACATTTTACTAATATTCAAAGAGGATAATTTCAATATCAAAAGAATATCCGTG